ACATCTGGACACTAGCGTATGATATACTGAACATCTGGACACTAGCGTATGATAAACTGAACATCTGGACACTAGCGTATGATAAACTGAACATCTGGACACTAGCGTATGATATACTGAACATCTGGACACTAGCGTATGATATACTGAACATCTGGACACTAGCGTATGATAAACTGAACATCTGGACACTAGCGTATGATAAACTGAACAGTCAGGACACTAGCGTATGATATACTGAACAGTCAGGACACTAGCGTATGATATACTGAACAGTCAGGACACTAGCGTATGATATACTGAACATCTGGACACTAGCGTATGATATACTGAACATCTGGACACTAGCGTATGATATACTGAACATCTGGACACTAGCGTATGATAAACTGAACATCTGGACACTAGCGTATGATAAACTGAACAGTCAGGACATTAGCGTATGATAAACTGAACAGTCAGGACACTAGCGTATGATATACTGAACATCTGGACACTAGCGTATGATAAACTGAACAGTCAGGACACTAGCGTATGATATACTGAACAGTCAGGACACTAGCGTATGATATACTGAACATCTGGACACTAGCGTATGATATACTGAACATCTGGACACTAGCGTATGATATACTGAACATCTGGACACTAGCGTATGATAAACTGAACATCTGGACACTAGCGTATGATAAACTGAACAGTCAGGACACTAGCGTATGATAAACTGAACAGTCAGGACACTAGCGTATGATATACTGAACATCTGGACACTAGCGTATGATAAACTGAACAGTCAGGACACTGGCGTATGATAAACTGAACATCTGGACACTAGCGTATGATAAACTGAACAGTCAGGACACTAGCGTATGATAAACTGAACATCTGGACACTAGCGTATGATAAACTGAACATCTGGACACTAGCGTATGATATACTGAACATCTGGACACTAGCGTATGATATACTGAACATCTGGACACTAGCGTATGATATACTGAACAGTCAGGACACTAGCGTATGATATACTGAACATCTGGACACTAGCGTATGATATACTGAACAGTCAGGACCACACACACAAAATATTCTGTTTAAGAAGAATACTGTTGAATCAATATTAAGACTAACAGGGACATACATAACTATGGAGACTGAGGGAATGTGAGCGACAACTTTTGATCTTTTCTTTTCTCTAAGGCATCCCCTAGTGTGTTGGCAACCTGAAAAGGCAGATGGACTGACTGGTTCTGCATCATTTGGTGATGACTGGGGAATGACAAAACAGATGTGATCGATGTTGTTTATTAACACGCGAACAATGAGGAAGAGCATACAGATCCCAGTTTGGAGAGTATGTATATTTTCTATTTTCTAATGACTCTGTATCTCTGTCAAGGCAGATGAACATTGAGGTACAGCCTGGAGCAGCAAGGAATGAACATTTCACCAATGGCACCACAAGGCTGATTAATCAATGCAGAACAGGCGTCATCAATCGTTTTAAGCTTGTCGAGCTAGTGAGGTGGAGACTGGAGCTAGTGAGGTGGAGACTGGAGCTAGTGAGGTGGAGACTGAAGCTAGTGAGGTGGAGACTGGAGCTAGTGAAGTGGAGACTGGGGCACCTACGGGTCTGTCCAGAATGCTGTGATGGTAGTCCTCACGAATTACTATAATTTCTAGCTCCATGTTTGTCTCTAATTCTGATATATTTATTCTGAACTTGTTCCCAGTGATATCCAGTGACTGGTTACAGCCACTAAATGAGAAGATAGATTTTTAGGTAGACAGCATTATTTTCCTGTTCAAAAATATTTACCTGCATGAAAGTTTCCTCACAGACATATAGATTACATGACAATAATCATCTCAATGTAAAACCCAATGAGTCTTTCTTTCACTGGATGAATCAATTCAATCTGTGTGCCATCTCCTCACTGGAGGTTAACTACAGTGAACCAACCAATCCACTGCTGTATTTTGGTACATCACAAACAAGCTAAGGCTCCAATCTCTATCATGATGTGACTCTAGTAGCACTCTCTGAAAGCCATCACAATGGTCTTTTTCTAACCCACCCACTCTCGGGTCTCGAACCCCAGTAAGGCGAGGTTTGATTCGTGAAATACTTTCCCAAGCATCAAAGCCATACCATTTGATGATATATCCCAATTAAAAACCGAAAAGGTTGAATAGGATTTTTTTCACAGGAACATTACTACTACTCTTCCTTCCATCTTTATTTTGCAGCAAGTTGGTTCTGAACAGTCAAACTTGATCTCAACATTTCCATCCTGCATAAAGCTGTTCTGAGCTTTCACACCTCTATTGCTCAAACATCTAAGAACTTCTTTTTCACTTCCTGTTCTACTGCTTCGGGGGTCGAGGAAGATACGAGGTTTGCTTCTTGATCTTCTGCTGCCTCCACCGAAGACACATCGTGCTACCGTAGTTTTCCTGATGTTATCTTTCTATCTTGTTCTTGGTCTACTTTGTGCTCTACATCCTTCTCCTCTTTTGGTCTATGCCATGCATGCTATGGTGTCACATGGCATTCTCTCTAAGTGTGTAAACCATTTGACTTGCTGTCTTTGTATGTAATTTAGAACTGCTTCTGTGCCGACCTTTTCTCTTATTACCTCATTTCTGATTTTATCTCCACTGGTTACTCCTGCAGCCCATCTCATGCACCTCACTTCCATAGTTACTAAATTTCTGTTCTAATATCCAAGAACACCACATGAAAGCACAGAAGTCATACCAATCATAACAATCAATGACTTTGGTTTTGATGACCATTTCTACGGTTCACATATCCAAGAACACAACATGAAAATTACACAATAAACAGCACTCAAGTTAATCAACTAAAATGATTAATTTTACTGCTTAAATCTACAAGAACAACCATGCAAAAATACAGATGTCACCCAAAAATACTAGCTTCATTAATTAAGACGGTCACTTCAATGCATAAATAACTGTTCACATGCTAACAACTATCAATCACTCAACGAGGTCACAAAAAGTACTTCTTCATAGCAGCACAGGTTTAAAAAGTCCAGGGAATCATTGTTTAGTAAACTATTAAGGTTATAACATTTATTCACAATGAAGTATCTTTCAATTGCAAACAGAGCTGAGTTGAGTGGAACTAAGTTGGGTCCAGAACTGACTGACGTCACAGCATTTGAGACATTCCTATATGCGCTCCATCCTCATCGTCAGCAGTCTGCGAAGAAGATGACATCAAGCTCCAGACATGCTCCGTAGCTCCGGCAATAATTCAAATGTAAAATTTGAGCAGTCAATGTATCCAGCTCATGAAGTCTGATACCAAGTCAGACAAACATATGAATCTGTCACTCTGTTCTGCATGAACACAACGACATGGAAAATAAACAAACACACATGCATATAATGACTCCAATTAATGGCTGACATTAACCATGGATATTAATTCCACTACAATATTTATGATTTTATATTCAATTACAATTAGAAAGAAACTGATGTTTCCTCAAACAAACTAATCCAATAAGAGGAGAATGTTTTATGAAATCACTGAATAATTTCCCAGTTTCTGCAACAGAAGACATCTATGCTTCTACAATTCATGTTTACTGGTTGCAGGGGATACATAGAAGTAAAAGACAACAGAAAATGTAGACACTTGAAACCAGCATTCACTTAACACAACTTGATTAAAGTATCTGCAGATCAGATCAACTGTATACTGCACCTATTTACTCCTCATATATATAAACCTATTTATCTAGACAAATGATTGTGCAGTAGTTCTCTATTTGCACTGAAATTGCTTCAGACACTGTATCATGTACGTATATGCTGGAGTCTTCAAGCACAGTGAAAACATGTGGTCAAAGATGTGGGAGTTGAGGGTTCAAATATGTGTTTTTATATGTATGTAGGTCAAGGTTGCAGGAGTTAAGGCTTGTGGTCAAAGATATGAGAGTTTAGGTGTTCAGATATGTCTATTTATAGGTATGTGGTCAACGATTTCAGAGTTTCCCTATGTGATCAAAGATGTAGTTGTTTAGGTCTATGGTTTTGGAATGTAAATGCAGTCAAACATGTAGCTTCTTCAGTTAGGTGTGTGGTACATGGCAAGATGTAACAGATCTATCACTGACTAAGTATGCTTACCATAATAACACAGCTTCCCTGTTTATGTGTTCACACCATGGTCAGATTGTGCCAGTGTCTAGTTATGCTGATAACATTTTAAGTAAGTCAGCAGAAAGACACAACTGTTTAGCTATTTTCAATATGCTGTATGGTGTAAATAATTTATTTTCCATTTCACTGAAAAATGCTGTAGTTGGGGAAGAACCCTTTACTGCAGTCAGTTATTTTGTTTTTATGCTTTAAAAAAAAAAAGGGCTGTATAATTTATTTTAAGATAGTAAATAGTAAAATACTTGTGGTTTTACAGTAAAAGAGAAGATTGAAGAGTAAAAGTTATATTGGTATAGAAAAATTTGCTTCTAATAAATGAAAAAATAAAATGGTTATATGTATTTTCCTAACCTGAGAAAATATAATTATACAGTTTTATAGCAAAGATTAGCTTGTAGAATAAAAGATAAACACTGTAGAATAAGGGATATATGGTAAAATGTCATGTTGTATAGTAAAGATCATTTCAGTATAGTGAAACATAAGATCATATTGTAAAAAAAAAACACTGTCAAATAAATGATAATGTTTTCTAGCAAAAAGAAAATGCTATTTAGTAGAAGTAGGCCAGATTATACAATCAAATATAAGGTTACAGACTACAAGATTATATACGTACAATGAAACAAACAAGACTGTATGTTTTCAACTAAAACATAATGTATGATTTTACAGAAAAAAGATATGACCATTAAAAACAAAAACAGAAAAGAAATGTGGTTGTATAATTCTCCTGGCACAGTAAAATCAACCCTCCTAGGACAGTCAGTCAAACAGGTGGTTACACGAGGGGCAAGCAATCAACAAGAACAGTTGCTGCTGTTCATGTTCGGGTTTTCTGTGAGTCGTGTTGATTTAGCTGTGCTGTTCACCAGTGTGGGATCTGCGTCCAGGCTCTCGGACATCTTGTCACAAATGATGTCCACCAGACGCTCAAATACAGCTTTGACATTGATGTTCTCTTTAGCAGATGTCTCAAAGAACTCTAGGCCTGAAACAGAAAGCTAGGCTTAGATCAACAGCGTAGGAAAACGTGCATGTGTGTGCAGACTGCTGATTCCTCACCTCTCAGGCAAATGCATTCTGACTTTTAAAAAAAAAACATCTCGAATTAGTTAACTCTTACGACATACTTGTTATGGGGCAGTGGGACTATCCCCCACTCCCTCTTTTCCCCCCATAATCCACCAGCAAAGGCAGATCTACAAACACTTGGAACCTCCAACTTCTGGTTTGGAGAGGGTCAATCAAAGACATGAGTGAAGGCTGGTATTATCTCAGCAACAGAGATTATCAAGGGTTTGTAATGTTGAAGAAGAAAGAGAATAACAAACATTGAGGTCAATTAAGATGTCCACTTGAGCACGCTCTATGAACATAATCTAGATGTGAACAATACTGTGATATATGGCACAGTATGGAGGTCTACTGTAACGCGAGAGTGGAAAGAGTATAAATGTCTTCATTAACTGTCCATATTAATGGAGCAGTGTACACACTATAGATGTACACATAAATGAGACAGTGTATTTGGTAGAGATGTCTTTATTAATGAGACAGTGTACACAGCACAAATGTCTATATTAATAAGACAGCGTAAACACTTTAAATGTCTGTCACAACATATTTGTCTTAATAAGACAGTGTACATGGTACAGATGTCTACATTGTTCAGAAAATTGACATGGTAAATATGTCTACATAAAATAGAAAATATAGATTCCAAAATTAATGAGACAGCGGATGTGGAATAGATGTCTGCGACAGTAGTAACACTAAAGATATGTACGCTGTTTAGATAGTGGTAACACTAAAGATTTGTTTACTATTGAGATAGTGGCAATACTAAAGATATGTACGCTGTTGAGATAGTGGTAACACTAGAGATAATGGTAACACTAAAGATATGTACACTGTTGAGATAATGGCAACACTATAGTTATGTACACTGTTCAGACAGTGGCAACACTAAAGATATGTACACTGTTGAGATAGTGGCAACAGTATAGATATGTTAACTGTTGAGATAGTGACAACACTAAAGATATGTACACTGTTGAGATTGTGGCAACACTAAAGATATGTACACTGTTGAGATAGTGCCAACACTAAAGATGTGTACACTGTTGAGATAGTGCCAACACTAAAGATATGTACACTGTTGAGATAGTGGCAACACTATAGATATGTACACTGTTGAGATAGTGGCAACACTTAAGATATGTACACTGTTGATATAGTGGCAACAATAAAGTTATGTACACTGTTTAGATAGTGGCAACACTATAGATATGTACACTTTTGAGATAGTGGCAACATGCTGTTAAGACATACCTAGTTGTTCTGCAAGTTGCTTGCCTCTCTCTGTAGACACCACACGCTCATCCTCTAGGTCACATTTGTTGCCTACTAGTACCACCTGAGCATTATCCCATGAATAGGTCTTGATCTGTGTACACCTGCAGGTCAGTAACAAACACAGCAGGGGTCAGTAAGCACACAACAGCTGGACTCTGACAGCAGCTACACAACTGGACAAGACAACAACATAAAAACAATATTTTATTTGATTCTAATGTATGATCTTCTTCTGCTGCCTGGGTGGTCTCTGTGATGAAGTGATCAAGCTGTGTGCTTTGTGCTCGCAAGCTTGTAGCTTCGTTTCATGGACCTGTCTTTCAGTTTAAGAGTGCAGTTTTATGGAAATCCCTGGGGGTGACCACTGAAGCTATGGATTTGGTGCTTTGTGTGATGCTGACGGCTAGCTGTTCTACAGAGGGAGATCAAGTCATAGGGGATAAAACCCTAGAGCAAAGTGGATCCTCTCGACTTTTAACTTCTGCTGCCTTTCACCTCCCAATGGAAAATTATACCTTTAGTCAATTAGGCCTTGAATCGAGATATACCATGTCTTTTGTAAGATTTGTCAATGTTTGGATTGTTCAGGACTGAATTTTGCAGCTTCCCCATGTGTTTTCTGGGGTATACATTTTTTCTGTGGGGGGGGGGGGGGGGGGGGGGGGGAGGAAATAGACCAGCTGCCCCTTAACAAGCATGTTGCCCAATCTGACTAATTAGGGATGTTTCCTTCAAAGTCAAAGTGTGTTTGTCTGAGAGGCAAGAACCAACAGTCTGCATACAAATAAGCCAGATCTGTGAAACAGATGTGCATACACGACAAAAGTTCTGGAAGAGGACCAAAGTCCAGAAGGGGATGAATAATCAGAACTTTTTTGCTGCAGTTTACAGCCAGTCAACTGCAAGGAGAAGGTGAATTTTGCAGCTGAAGTTTTCTACACTGTAAAGTAGCCAGTCTCACCACAACCCTCCTTGGTCACCTCTGAGACATGCATGGTGAGATATAGTGCTATAATTCTTTTGCTTTCCTTATGGGTGGTAGCAGCAGTAGTGCTGCTGTTAGACGCAGGCCTGATGACATGTAGCTCTTGAGTTTGAATCTTCACTAAAGAAGAGATTTTATTTTAATTTTAATTGGCATCCAGCCAACTGGTAACAGGTAAAGTCCTAAGAGTAAAGGTTATACTGACGACATCACCTACTGAGTGCCAACTGGTCCATAAATATTTTGGTCTAGCACCATATGCCTAATGATGTTATAAGTGTGGTGACTTTTTCCCTTGTAGAGGTCTGATAACACACAGGAACATACCATGCATCAAAAGCAAGTGTTGTGCTGCTGGTGCAAAGTACATGAAAGATTTGTTCTGTAACTGATCACCTTGATGGTTCACCCTGATAACTGCAGGGGTGCTCTAGTCACTAAGCCCTAATATGTTATATAATGTTCCCAGTGTGGGTTCCTGGACCCCCTGCTGGGGTGGGGAAGGGAAGGGAGGGAGAGAACAGATTCATTGCCTTCCTGGACCCCCTGCTGGGGGTGGGGAAGGGAAGGGAGGGAGAGAACAGATTCATTGCCTTCCTGGACCCCCTGCTGGGGGTGGGGAAGGGAAGGGAGGGAGAGAACAGATTCATTGCCTTCCTGGACCCCCTGCTGGGGGTGGGGAAGGGAAGGGAGGGAGAGAACAGATTCATTGCCTTCCTGGACCCCCTGCTGGGGGTGGGGAGGGGGAGGGAGGGAGAGAACAGATTCATTGCCTTCCTGGACCCCCTGCTGGGGGTGGGGAAGGGAAAGGAGGGAGAGAACAGATTCATTGCCTTCCTGGACCCCCTGCTGGGGGTGGGGAGGGGGAGGGAGGGAGAGAACAGATTCATTGCCTTCCTGGACCCCCTGCTGGGGGTGGGGAAGGGAAGGGAGGGAGAGAGAACAGATTCATTGCCTTCCTGGACCCCCTGCTGGGGGTGGGGAAGGGAAGGGAGGGAGAGAACAGATTCATTGCCTTCCTGGACCCCCTGCTGGGGGGGGTGGGGTGGGGGAGGGAGGGAGAGAACAGATTCATTGCCTTCCTGGACCCCCTGCTGGGGGTGGGGAAGGGAAGGGAGGGAGAGAACAGATTCATTGCCTTCCTGGACCCCCTGCTGGGGGTGGGGAGGGGGAGGGAGGGAGAGAACAGATTCATTGCCTTCCTGGACCCCCTGCTGGGGGTGGGGAAGGGAAGGGAGGGAGAGAACAGATTCATTGCCTTCCTGGACCCCCTGCTGGGGGTGGGGAGGGGGAGGGAGGGAGAGAACAGATTCATTGCCTTCCTGGACCCCCTGCTGGGGTGGGGAAGGGAAGGGAGGGAGAGAACAGATTCATTGCCTTCCTGGACCCCCTGCTGGGGGTGGGGAGGGGGAGGGAGGGAGAGAACAGATTCATTGCCTTCCTGGACCCCCTGCTGGGGGTGGGGAAGGGAAGGGAGGGAGAGAACAGATTCATTGCCTTCCTGGACCCCCTGCTGGGGGTGGGGAGGGGGAGGGAGGGAGAGAACAGATTCATTGCCTTCCTGGACCCCCTGCTGGGGGTGGGGAAGGGAAGGGAGGGAGAGAACAGATTCATTGCCTTCCTGGACCCCCTGCTGGGGGTGGGGAGGGGGAGGGAGGGAGAGAACAGATTCATTGCCTTCCTGGACCCCCTGCTGGGGTGGGGAGGGGGAGGGAGGGAGAGAACAGATTCATTGCCTTCCTGGACCCCCTGCTGGGGGTGGGGAGGGGGAGGGAGGGAGAGAACAGATTCATTGCCTTCCTGGACCCCCTGCTGGGGTGGGGAGGGGGAGGGAGGGAGAGAACAGATTCATTGCCTTCCTGGACCCCCTGCTGGGGTGGGGAGGGGGAGGGAGGGAGAGAACAGATTCATTGCCTTCCTGGACCCTCTGCTGGGGTGGGGAGGGGGAGGGAGGGAGAGAACAGATTCATTGCCTTCCTGGACCCCCTGCTGGGGTGGGGAGGGGAGGGAGGGAGGGAGAGAACAGATTCATTGCCTTCCTGGACCCCCTGCTGGGGGTGGGGAGGGGAGGGAGGGAGAGAACAGATTCATTGCCTTCCTGGACCCCCTGCTGGGGTGGGGAGGGGGAGGGAGGGAGAGAACAGATTCATTGCCTTCCTGGACCCCCTGCTGGGGTGGGGAGGGGGAGGGAGGGAGAGAACAGATTCATTGCCTTCCTGGACCCCCTGCTGGGGGTGGGGAGGGGGAGGGAGGGAGAGAACAGATTCATTGCCTTCCTGGACCCCCTGCTGGGGTGGGGAGGGGGAGGGAGGGAGAGAACAGATTCATTGCCTTCCTGGACCCCCTGCTGGGGTGGGGAGGGGGAGGGAGGGAGAGAACAGATTCATTGCCTTCCTGGACCCCCTGCTGGGGTGGGGAAGGGAAGGGAGGGAGAGAACAGATTCATTGCCTTCCTGGACCCCCTGCTGGGGTGGGGAGGGGGAGGGAGGGAGAGAACAGATTCATTGCCTTCCTGGACCCCCTGCTGGGGTGGGGAGGGGGAGGGAGGGAAAGAACAGATTCATTGCCTTCCTGGACCCCCTGCTGGGGGTGGGGAGGGGGAGGGAGGGAGAGAACAGATTCATTGCCTTCCTGGACCCCCTGCTGGGGTGGGGAGGGGGAGGGAGGGGAGAGAACAGATTCATTGCCTTCCTGGACCCCCTGCTGGGCTGGGGAGGGGGAGGGAGGGAGAGAACAGATTCATTGCCTTCCTGGACCCCCTGCTGGGGTGGGGAGGGGGAGGGAGGGAGAGAACAGATTCATTGCCTTCCTGGACCCTCTGCTGGGGTGGGGAGGGGGAGGGAGGGAGAGAACAGATTCATTGCCTTCCTGGACCCTCTGCTGGGGTGGGGAGGGGGAGGGAGGGAGAGAACAGATTCATTGCCTTCCTGGACCCCCTGCTGGGGTGGGGAGGGGGAGGGAGGGAGAGAACAGATTCATTGCCTTCCTAACAAACATGTAAAAATTTAATTAGGAGTCTCTTTTTGAAAAACTGTAGTGCATCTGCCTGAGAGGCGAGTAACCAACAGTCTTGCTACAAATAAGCCATAAGTGTCAAACAGATATGCATGCAAAACTTAGGTTCTGGAACAAGACTTCAGTAAAGAAGTGGACCAACAGCCAGAGCTTTCCAACTGGAGTTTACAGCCGGTGAACACACAGAAGAAGCAAAGTTATATAACACAAGGCCTATCAATCAACATGACATGCCATGCTAAGGACAGATGATCATGGTTAACACTTTACATCCCAATCAACGTCTCATATGTGAAACATCTCATTACGAGCTCTCTTATTTGTTTACATTTGCTCACAGCATTTTAAATCAGTGTGGCTATGTGAGTTGTATTTCTACAACACAAGTCTTGTAGTCGAAAGAGCTAACCATATCACATGACTCCCTAAAGTCTGAAATCAGATTTGTAATTTTTCTTCTTTGTTTTCTTCCTTTTCTTTTGCATTCATACATAAAATGGTAGCTGGCAGGTTATGCAGTGGTTTACAGCTAGGCTGCAATATTTGCCAATCCTTTGTCAGTGACTCTTACAACATGCTTAATGGGAGCATAGGTCTATTTCCCAAAGTAGGGCTTGGAAACCACATGAGGAGTGTTTTATGTTCTTGTTGTCATGTCACCCACCATATTATTTTGTGTCTTTATTTTGCACCCTTCCATCAAGTTTGCCATTTGTCACTAAGTTATAAAGGCCATCTCTGCTTTTATAATAACCAAATAAAAAATTCTCCCCACAGTTTTTCCTGGTATTTATTTTAAACCAATTGACCTGGCAGCCCAGTAAGCTAAGCACTGCACTATTATGACCTCAACCATTTATCTTGGTCAAATTAATATTCAAGGTAAAATTGTTTGCTGGCACTCGGAAAGTTGTGAGTTCTCTGGGCGTCATGCTCTGAAGGTCATAGGTTAAAACCCTGGATTGCCTCATTCGGTTCACAAAAGCAAATACATGGCGATCTCTGGGGATCATCACTGGAGCGATGGAGTTTGTGCTTTATGCAACAAGCTAGGCAGGTGGTTAACTATTGTGTGGCGAGAGGCCAGCCATCTAGGATATAAATCTGATGTAATCGAGCTGAGCCTCTCAGTTTTACACTTTAACTGTTTCAAACTTTAAACTGTTTGATCTGTGAACAGACTGAACTGCTGTAGCGAGATTCAGCTGCTGACAGACAAGTGACTCCAACACTCACCAGTCTTGCACTGCATTGAACGACTCCTCATTGGTGATGTCGTACATTAACAAAAAGCCCATGGCACCCCTGTAGTAGGCGGTAGTGATGGTGCGATACCTCTCTTGTCCAGCAGTGTCCTGTGAAAGAGAACAGATATCACTGTTTAGAACAGGAGAACATCTCTCTCTCTCCTTCTCTCTCTCTCTCTCTCTCTCTCTCTCTCTCTCTCTCTCTCTCTATCTATCTCTCTCTCTCTCTCTCTCACACAAACATACACGCACACAGGGACAGAGAGAGAAAGACAGAAAGTTAAAAAACAAAAAAAGTAAAAGTAGTAAAGATCTCCTTTCACGCCATTAGGCGTATCGGACATATGGAAAGAGAGCCCATGTTTTTACACCGTCGGCACTGGGTGGGTAATGTGGCCAGCATTACGAGGGCCGTCTTTACTTCCCCAAGACACACATCCTGGTACCCATTTTAGGCTGGGTCGATCTGCGACGCCCCATACCATGATAAAAATCCAGGCAGCCCGCAGTGGGTTTCGATCGCGGTAAGTTGGAATTACGAGTCGGACTCGCAACGCCTAAGCCATGGACGCCGCTAAGAGAGAGAGAGAGAGAGAGAGAGAGAGAGAGAGAGAGAGAGAGAGAGAGAGAGAGAGTAATTAACATTTAAATGGTACTGTCTCCATAATGGAGTCAACAGTCAAGCTGATGACAAGAAGAGCTAACCACAACATAGAATGTGACTAGAATGCTAAACGGGGGGGGGGGGTGGGGTGGGCTGGGACTGGAGTAAAACATGTTCATTTGTGATCCAAACCTCTCAGTCCTCTTCCCGAAAACTTTACTTCAAATTGCAGAAGCAAGTATTTGTAAATCGGGTAACCTTACTGATGCATATATATGACTGTGGATCTGGCCCAGGGGATCCACATTGCGAGAGAAGCTATGGTGGACACTTGGCGACCTTAAACGCACAATCCTATTTTTGACCCAGACGGGACTCATGTGTAGCATGACTGATGTCGAACGCAGTACCATACAGTTTTGTCTTCATTGTGGTTGGAACAGGCCAGATTGTGTTTCTGATGTCATCATACTGTTGAGAGGGTTGGATGACCAGGACCTTTCTCCTAGAGGCAAAAACAGTGCCCGTACTCACCAGAAAGTATCTTTTATAGAAGTGCGGAAAACAACTGTGCTGGAGAGAGAGGGAGAGCCTTGATGATGGTGGTGGTGGTGGTGATGATGGTGATGATGATGATAGTAACTGGTTGACCCGGTGCTGGCGATGATAAAACACCACGAGTCTACGTCACGATGCTGAATGTAACAATGTGGCCTGGGCAATGATGACATATATCTCTTGCCTAGACAACACTAGCAGAAACTCCTGCGGCCACATTGTTTGACTGGGCGGTGAGAATCAATAACCAGATCTAGCCAGTGGATGTTTGTTGCAACATCTCACAACGCTCGTATTGACCGGACTGAAGGAAATGTAAACAACAGTGGGCAGGAAATACTACCATTATTTTCTGCCGGAAACACACCCAACAACCACGGTTGTTGGCGGCTACTTCGACGTCACCACTTCCAAATATAATCACTTCAGTTAATCCTTCCTCTCATTCACCTTAGCTAATGATAAACACTTTCCAATCCTTCCACCTAAGCTGACGACAAACACTCTCACAATCCTTTCCCTCTTTTACCTTAGCTGATGATAAACACTCTCCCAATCCTTTCCCTCTTTCACCTTAGCTGATGATAAACACTCTCCCAATCCTTTCCCTCTTTCACCTTAGCTGATGATAAACACTCTCCCAATCCTTTCCCTCTTTCACCGAAGCTGATGATAAACACTCTCCCAATCCTTTCCCTCTTTCACCGAAGCTGATGATAAACACTCTCCCAAGCCTTTCCCTCTTTCACCTTAGCTAATGATAAACACTCTCCCAATCCTTTCCCTCTTTCACCGAAGCTGATGATAAACACTCTCCCAATCCTTTCATTCTTTCACCTTAGCTGACGATAAACACGCCCAATCCTTCCAATTTCTCAACTTAATTGATGATAAACAGTCTAGTTAGTTAGTCGACAGATTATCATCATCGCATATAGAACCATTCCGTCCATAAGTGCTCAGATCCCCTCTTCAGTATCTCCCTCAGCGTTTAGTGACTTATGACACCAGTTGTGTGTTGGTTTACTATTCTTCTGTGGGTCCCAGTGCAGCGCTCTTGCATGGCTTCACCCCTTTTTGATGTTATATTTGTGTAGTCTCGCCAGTGTTGCAGATTCACAATCATTACTTGATTCTTTTAATCGAGCTGCCTCTCTGAGGACATTCAGTATATCAGCCCCGTTCATTGCTCGTCTGTTTCCCACGTGGCCATCAAATTCATCGAGCCGCCTCTCTGAGGATGATCAATGAAAATATGATAAACACTCTCCCTCCTCCCAAGCCGTACACTCTCTCAATGTAAATGTATAACACTCTCCCAACTCTTAAGCCTTCGGCTCTCTCATCTGATGATAAACCAACAAGCCTGCAAATACCGCCTAGTTATGCCTAGCGCGGCTTTTAATATGCCAGGCAGTATCGATTTGGCGCTCGCACGTCCAGCCCTTCTGGCTGCAGAGCTGCCACATCAACGTCTTAATCAGAATATTTTCCCTCCATCTCCCCCTCCTCATCCCTTCGGCATTTCCTTCCTCTGGTCTCTTCCTAGCCTTTCCGGAAAGAAACCTCAAAACGCCCGACAGTCTAGGGCATTATTCACAGTGTTTCAAACTCTGTTCATACTGACGAGCCCGACCTCGACCAGGTTCTAGTTATGGCAATGATTTTATTTTTGTCCTCAAAACTAGTACGCCATCTTGAGTTTCATCTGTCTTTGTCGGAAAAGTCATTTAGTTGACGGAGTTTCGCTGGACAACAAACAATGTCAACTGAACGGTTTCTCTCATCATCTTATATTCGTATGCTGTGTCCAACGTCTGTCTCATTTAGTGAAACGGTCTACTGACTGTTCCGAAATAACGACAGCCTCGTTCTGTGAGGCTTGCGTCAAATGTGCGCGTTTGATTGGGCGAGTGGGTGTGAGAGAGAGTGTGTGTGAGTGCATGTGGATGGGGGTCAGAAAAAGTACGGCGTGGGAGTGGAATCACCCTCCACATCCTCTCATCAACCATACACATACAACTGAGAGTTACAATATGCATCTGGTTGAATCGATGGAACACGTTCCCCACGCTTCCTTACCGATCGATCCGCCACACTATCGCCAACGCTTGTCATAAACCACTGACGTCACTGCAGCCGTTAAAAGGCAATAACTGTCATAAATATCAAATGAGAGGCAATGGCGAGTGCAGTAGAGTTCCCGCGACATACATGAAATGGGCTGACTGCGGCAAAGCTCAGGGACTTGTAAACAATTGCAGAACACAAAGTACAGGTCAGCTTTAGAGAATTGAAATTACAATTAACAACGGACGTTGCGCCGTAGAGTCTTTATCAGCATGCAAAGATAAGACACAAAGTACAATTCAAAGACGGAAATACACTACATTAGCTATATTAAAGCGTTATATAATCCATAAATCAAGTGACGACTCCACAATAAAGATTGGCTGCAAGGGATCTAAAACGTACTGCCTCCCACCCTGATTTTACACATATACAGACACATACACATTTGTTCTTGCATCTCTTGATATTATCCCCCTTCCCCCACACATATCATTTTCTTGACTTAAACACGTCCATCCAGTGGACGGTTAAAAAAAACAACCTCACCGCTGTCGGACAATAGTACAAGAATCACACCATGGGAAAGATTCGGCCCTGACGGCGTACTATTCCCAGCACAAAGGTCTGTGCACTTTCATTACGGAAAGAGTTTTTTCATCCGTTATTTCTTTAAAAAGACTTGAATCTAACATTGGAGCGTGCGTGTGTCTTTAACCTTGTCAACAACCTACTCATGTTTGAATGTTGGACTCGGCTTCGTGGCAATTACCCCGTATTATCCACCACCGTTTATATTTATTTACACGTGAGCACTTTAGCTGTGATAGCTCTTAGCAATGTTCTGCTAACTGGTTAACGGCAGCACTATGTCAACGATGCTGACAGAATTCTCTTGCCTCATTATCGTTCTATGGTGGATTATTGATAATGCTTTTTTATTGCCTCAAACGCTTTTCTCTTTGGTCTCAACTGAAATGTCTGCCACATAATCTACTATTCAAACACACGCGCAACTTCCTACCGACGATGTGACGTTTGCTTGGGATTTAAGTGCCTGCGGTGTGCAGGCAACCAACCTACTGTAGTCTGCAGACAAACCGCATAGGACCAGACTCAACACGCTCAAATAAAATGACCAGAACTAATGAAAACAGACCCAAAATAGAAACAGATGCAGATAATTGTTCCAGTGCATGTGCTAGGCTACACAAGGCATGCTGGCATAACGAACTCGCTGAGCTGCCTACCTCTCATTGGTCTAACGACAGCGTTCTTTGGTCTGTGCATATATTTGTTTGTATTGTGTTTACTTATGTCACCTATATCTTAGGTTTAGCGTGTCTATTTTCACCCTTTTCGCTCTGGGTACTTTTGATTTATTCTATGTTCTGTATCTGGGCTTATTTATGTTCCTTTCATTGTGTGTGTGTATGTGTGTTTAAGCGCGCGCGCGTGTGTGTGTGTGCGTACTAATAATTAAATTCAGAAACGGTTGATTTTTTGTTGGTTGTTGGCGCTGCGGGATACACCTGCTCTTGTGCAGCCACTCCACAGAGCATGCTGGACAGCACCAGCCAAGTTACTTATTTTCTGCGTTCTTACCGTGGGATATGCCGGCGTGGAAGGCAACGAGCGTTCTTACCGTGGGATATGCCGGCGTGGAAGGCAACGAGCGTTCTTACCGTGGGATATGCCGGCGTGGAAGGCAACGAGCGTTCTTACCGTGGGATATGCCGGCGTGGAAGGCAACGAGCGTTCTTACCGTGGGATATGCCGGCGTGGAAGGCAACGAGCGTTCTTACCGTGGGATATGCCGGCGTGGAAGGCAACGAGCGTTCTTACCGTGGGATATGCCGGCGTGGAAGGCAACGAG